CAGACCCCACAGACCTGTGGCAGGGATGGACCCTGCAGCCCCCTGGGGATCCCCAGCAGGGACACCACCCACAGCTCCCCCAGGACAGGGGACTCACCAGCTGCAGGAGATTGTAGAGTTTCTCACTGAGCACCACGAACACCTTCTCACTGGCGAAAGCCTGCAGAGACCCCATGTGAGCAAGGGAATGTGGGCAAAACCCCCCACCCACAGCACGTCCCCAGGCAGACTCACCTCCTTGTAGGCCTGCAGGTAGGACAGCACCTGGAGAAAGTGGTGCCGGGAGGTGGCATCTGCTGGCACCTTCCCGAAGCAGAGCAGGGCTGGCTGTGTTAGGTTCACCATCAACCTGCAAAGAGGTGGAGGAATGTGAGGGACCCCTGCCCAGCAATCAGCTCCCATAGGGGCACTCCTGGCCACAAATCTGCCCCCCAATACCTGATGACGGCGTCAAAGAGCACCTTGTCCTGGGGGTACTGCACCAGGATGGGCAGGAGGTCGTTCTGCAGGATTTGGGCTGCCCCCAGCTGCTGCCGCACGTCCCGGCTCTCGTCCTCATGGCGCAGGTACCGGATCAGGTCCTTGACGCTCTCTGGGGACACGAGGCCATCAGTCCCTGCTCTCCTCGGTCCCCACCGCCCCCCTCCCCTCCAGTGCCCACCTACCCAGGCAGTCGGGCTCCCGATGGTACACGTCGCCCTCCAGGTAGCCCAGGGCGCTGCAGGTGGCCAGGAGCTCGCAGTTCATCATGTACCAGTCCATGCAGCGCGGGGCTGCACACGGGACCAGCACCGGGGGCCACCTGCGGGCCACTGTCAGCACTGGGTACCCCCGGGCTGGGCTTCTCCCACCCGTTCTGGGCTCCCCGGTACAGGCCCACCTGCCAGTCCCGCTCTCACAGATCCCGGGGTACCCTCTGGTCCCAGTATCCCCAACACCGACGAATCTCCCAGGCCCGGTCCCCCTCGGTACCGGACCCCACCGATCCCACAGCAACACCCAGGCCTTGGTACCACCTCGATCCCAGCGCTCCTCCCCGTCCCGGTCCACCCCAATACCGGCGCACCCCACAGCCCCGGGGCATCCTAAGCCCCGGTTCCTCCGGTTCCATACCACCCCTCCCGTTTCGGCTCCCCGCAGTCCCGGAATACACCCCGATCCCCGTCGGCCCCGCTGCCTTCTCGATCCCGGAGCATTCCCGATCCCCCCACCTCCCGATCCCGGATCCCAGCCCCCAGTCCCCCCGGACCGCCCTGACCCCGGACCACCCCCCGGGCCCGTCCAACCCGGAACACCCTCCAGAGCCCGGAGCACCCGGAGGTTCCGATTCCCCCCGCCCCGTACCCTCTTCCGATCCCGAATCACCCCCCTGCATTCGGCGACCCCGGATCACTCCCAGTCCCCGGTCCCCGCCGGTTCCGGGACACTCCCCTGCCCCGGAACCCCCCGGTGCCGGCCCCCCGTCCCGCTCACCGCCGCCCCGTCCCCGCCGCCCTCACGGCCGCGCTCCCGGTCCCGGCGCGGGGGCGGCGTTACACAACCGCCCCAGTTCCCGCGGGCCGAGGCCCCGCCCCGTTCGTACTCTTCAAGCGGCAACACCCGCAGAGACATCCGGTGGTCCCTAAGGTGCTGCCCACCCCTTCACACCCTCCCCACCATCCCCCACGGGCACAAACCGGCGGCTCGGTGCTTCGGGGTGCCCCGAATCCCCCTGCCCTCGCCCCCCGCCCCGCGGCGCTGAAGGGTGGAACACGGGAGAGGCTCATTGCGGGGATGAGAAACGGTGGCGGCGTTGCCCTTTTAAGAACGGCGCTGGCTGGGCGGGGCCTACCCGGGCGCGGGAACGGGCGGCACCTCCCGCCACCCGCGCGCGGCCGCCGCGGGAGCTCCGGTGTCCCCCTCCCCTCCCCCTCTCGGTCCCTCCCGTTCACCGGCACCGGGCACGGCCGCGAGCGGTTACCAAAATAAAAGAGCAGGTTTAATTCACCGAACACAGAAGTCCCGCCGCGGCGGGGCGGGGCGGCCCCGGCCCGGTACGGGCGGCCCCGGGCAGGCCGGTGGCCGGTTCCCGGCAGCGGGGCCCCGCCGCCGCCCGCCCGCCGCGCCGCGCCGCACACACACGCACCACACGCACCGCGGCGGCCCCGTCACAGCAAAGCAGCGGCGGGCGCGGGGCCGCGCCCCGGGACGGGCCCCGTTACAGCCCCTGCGTCTTCAGCTCCAGCGGCTCGCGCGGCCAGCAGGGCCAGGAGGCTCCCGGCAGCGGCTCTGCCGGCGGCTCGGGCGGCGGCTCGGCGGCGGCGGCGGTGGCGGCGGTGACGGCGGTGGGGGCGGGCGGCTCTCCCTTGAGGGCTGCCAGGCGCTCGGCCAGGCTGCGCGGCCGCGGGCACAGCGCGAACTCGTACAGCACCGCGCCCAGCGCCGCACCCAGCAGCGGGCCCGCCCAGTACACCTGCGGGGGGGCGGCGTGGGCACCGGCACCGGGGGACCCCGGCCCTTCGCCTCCCGGGGCACGGCACCCTCCCCGCTGACTCCCGGGCACCGGCCCAGTCGGGGCCACCCGTCTCCCGGTGAGCGGGGGGCGGCCGCGTGTCCCCCTCCCCGGGATATCGGGGGACAGGACCCGTCTCCCGGTGAGCGGCCGTTTCTCCCCGCCCGGGATACCGGGGGGGTACCCAGCACCCTTGGGTGCTGCTGTCACCGTGGTGACACCGGCAGCCGCCCGCCTTCGGCAGGGACACAGCGGCTGGGGCAGGACAGGGACAAGCGGGGAGGGACTGGGAGGGCCCGGGGCGGGTTTGGGGGTCCCCGTCCCCCCCCACTTACCCAGTGGTTGGCGAAGTTACGGGTGATGACGGCGGGGGCGAAGGAGCGAGCGGGGTTCATGCTGGCGCCCGTGTAGTGGATCTGCGGGGGGACGGGGCAGTGGGGGGCTGGACAGCTGCCCCCCAGCCTCTTCCCAGCCCCCGGGGTCCCAGCACGGGGGTCCCCGCGGCCACCCTTACCCCGAAGAGGTGGCCGAGGGCGAGGGAGAAGCCGACGGGCACGGCGGCCATGGCCGGGCGCCCGTCGTGACGGTCGTCGAAGCTGGCGAAGACGCAGAGGACGAACTGGGCGGTCAGGAGCAGCTCCACCACCGTGCCCTGGCCCGGGCCCACGCCGGGGTGTAGCTGCGCGGGGAGAGGGCTCAGCACGACGCATTCCCCATTCCCCCCAGCATCCCAAATCCCCCTTCGTTGTCCTTCCACACCCCAAAATCCCACTGTATCACAGATACAAACTGTATCCCCAAACTCCTCCCTGGATGCCCAGCCCCCATTAGTGCCCCACAACAAAACCTCAAAACCTCTTCTGGACCCCCCAAATCCACCATCAGATCCCTCAAACACCTCTGAACCCCAGAACCTCCATTACACCCCCATGGTGCCCCAAAACACCTCCTGGACCCCCCCAATTCCCCCAAACTCTCAGAACCCCCCATCCCCCCATATATAGCCCCTTGTACCCCACATCCCAAAACAACCCCCTGGACTCCCCCAATCCTTCCAAACCCCCATTACAGTCCCAAAGTACTTCAGACCCCAAACACCTCCTGGAGCCCCCAAATCCTCATTACAGCCCCCACCCCACTGCCACACCCCATGGTCCCCAAGCCCCCCAATCCCTCCCATGCCCCCGCTCACCGCGCTGAGGCCGAGGGTGCCACGGACAGGACCTGGGGTCACCCCGTAGAGCACCCCGGCACCGGCCAGCATGCCCAGCACCTGGGCCAGCAGGTAGCCCAGGGCACGGGGCAGGGAGAGCTGCGAGGCCAGCAGGAATGCCAGCGTGATGGCCGGGTTGACGTGGCCCCCGCTGACATGGCCCAGCGCCTGCACCAGGGTGGTCTGGGCCAGCCCGAAGGCCAGGGCGGCCCCCACGACGCTGGGGGGGCCCGGGGCCCAGCGCAGGGAGGCCCCCAGCCCCAGCAGGGCATAGAGGAGGCTGCCCAGGAACTCGGCCAGGACGGCCCTCCAGAAGGCGGACGAGCGCAGCTCCCGCATGGCCTGGCCCCGCTGCCCTCCACGGCCCCGCTCCCCTCCCCGGGGGCCGCCCGTGCCCACCTTTATAAGGCCCCCCCGGGCCGGCCCCGGGGGTGGGATCCCACCTCCGCCACCCCCCCTTAACCGCTTCGCTGCCCGGGGCACGGGACAGGTGACATGCGGTAAGGACCCCCCCCCCCCGAGCCCCCCCGGGCAGCCCCGCACCCCCCGATAGTGGGGACCCCCCTCCAGAGCTGTGCCGCCCCCATCCCTGGGGTTGCCTGGGGAGGAGGTGGGGGGGCTGCGACCCATTGGTGCCCTCAGTGGGATTTGGGGGACCCCCTTGCTCGGGGCCAGCACTGACACACCTCCCACCCCCCCAAATGTTTTGGGGACACTTTGGGGCAACCCCTGCTGGGAGCCGCCCCCACCCCGCGGGAGGGGGTCCTGGGCCAGCCCCGCTGGGGACCGCGGGGTGTCCCGTCCCCCCCCCCGGCGCTGTTGTCTGCGGGAGGGTTTATTCAGCCCGGCTTAGCGGGCGCTGAGTCCCCGGCCGGGGGGATTAGGGCTCGGCCCGGCCATTGGCGCCCGCCGGAATCTGCCGGGGCTGCAGAGGCCACCACAAAGGGCTTTGCTGCGCTCAGCTCCCCGGCACGGGACGGGCTGACGGGGGGTCCCGGCCCCCGCCCTCGCCAGGGGCCGCGGGGAGGGGGCACCCGGCCTCTCGCAGCCCCGGTGCTGTCACACACCGAGGGCGCAGGGCGGTGGTCGAGACCCCCCTCCGTCCCCTCATAGCATCACTCCGCACCCACCTGCGACCCCAACACACCTTTAATCCGTCCACGGGGGAGAGGACAGTAAAAGGGGAGGGGGCACGGAGCCCCCCATCCTGTGGGTGCCCCACGGAAGGTTCTGGCGGCGGCGGGGATGCGGTGTCAGGGTGCGGAGAATCGGGGGGCTGGGGTGGAGCAGGGGGGCTCAGGCAGTGCCCTGCTCCCGCTGCTCGGCCGGGGGGGCCACCGAGGAGGGGGACAGGCTGGGGGTCTCCACCAGAGCCACATCCCGGCAGGCGAGGCAGGCACTCAACTTCTCCCGGGAGGCTCCGGGTGCCAGGATGAACTCGTAGGAGAGCCCGGCCAGCACCGCGCCCAGCACCGGCCCCAGCCAGTACACCTGGAGGGGCACAGGGTGCAGGGGTGTCCCAGGGACGGGGGGATGCACGGGAGGGGGCTGCCCGGGGGTGGGGGGGACAGGGGACCCCACCCCAGTGATGAGGAGCCGTGGGGAGGGGATGTCACATATTTGGGGGAAGGGGCCCATCCCAAGGATGGGGACGAGGTGGGGCCTGTCCCAAGGATGGCAATAGGAGGGACACACCTGTCCTGTGATGGTGACACCATGAGGGCCCAAGCTGGGGACACAGCTGGCGTTGACCTACCCCAGGGGGACCCACCCAAGGGAGGGAAAACCAGGAACCGCTGTCCTGGGGTGGGGATGGGATGGGATGGCAGCAGTCACATAGCGGGGACCCACCCTTACGTGGGGACTCCGGGGAGTCTGAGGGTGCCCCCAACTCACCCAGTGATCATCCCAGACACCGGTGACAATGGCCGGCCCCAGTGAGCGTGCGGGGTTCATGCTGCCCCCCGAGAATGGCCCCTGTGGGAGACAGGGGGGGTCAGGGGCTGGTGGGGTGGGGACCCCTTGGGTGGGTGGGACATGGGGGGGCCTTACTGCAGCCAGGGCACCGGCGGCCACGGCGCTGCCCAGGGCCAGCCCAGCCTGTGGGGCCGTGTGCTCAGCGGCGGCGAAGGCGGCCAGCGCCAGCTGGAAGGTGGCAAATGTCTCCCAGGCCAGCGCTGTCCCGGCTGTCCCCACCGCGCTCACCTGCAGGAGGGACACCTGTCCAGTGCCACAGGATGGGGACAGGGATGGGGACGGGGATGGGGACACTCACCCTGGTGACGAGGCCGGTGTCATCCAGCAGTGCTGCACGGGCAGCAGCAGAGGCCAGCGTGGCCCCCGTGCACTGGGCCAGGACCCCCGCGGCCCCGCGCAGGGTGCTCAGCTTGCGGGTGCACAGCAGGGCCAGCGTCAGTGCGGGGTTGGCCTGGGGACCCCCGAGGGTGCAGACGAGCCCCCCGGCCACCAACCCCCCGGCCAGGGCTGGTGCCAGTGGCCCAGGGGCTGCTGAAGCCCCCAGGACCACCCCCACGAAGATGAGGGTGGCCACCAGCTCCGCCAGCACCCCCCGCCAGAAGTGGCCACTGCGCAGCTCCTGGGGGGACAGCGGGGCCGGGGGTCACCCCACAGGCACTGCCAGGCAGGTGGCTTTGGGGATGGGGTATCTCAGGGGTGGGGTGCCCAAGGATCGGGTATCTCAGGGGTGGGGCGCCCTGGCAACAGGATGCCCCAGTTTTTGGGTACCCACGGGGATGGGGTACCTTAGGGGTGGGACTCCTCAGCACCTGGGTCCTGCAGTAGGGGGCACCGGGGCAGTGGGGTGCCATGGAAACAGGATGCCCCAGGTGCCATGGGGATGGGACCCCTCAGTCCCTGGGCACTGTGGCGACAGAATGTCCTGACAATGGGGCCACAGGGGCTGACGGGGATGAGGATGGAGGCAGCAGCCACGACAGGGGCCATGGTGAGGGCCACACAAGGACCCCCGTGCCAGGGCTATGGGCAGGGCATTGAAGTGACAGGCTTGGGGCGTCCCCATGGGTTAGGGGGTGCTCAGACACCCCCCCTGGCAGGAAGGGACTCTGGGGCTGTGGTTTTGGGGGGCTGGGGGGTCAGGGCCGCTCGCAGGGTCTTACCTCCCCGATGGCCATGGTGCAGCTGAGGGAGAGGGGAGCGCAGAGCACACCTGAGGTGGGGACACCTCCTCCCCCTGGCACTGCCACCCCTGTCCCTGTCACCCCTGAGCACTGCCACCCCCTTGGCACAGGGCACCCCTGAGGTGCTGAGGGTGGGGCAGGATTTTGGGAAGGGGCTGTGGGGGTCCTTGGCTTGGAGCATCCCTGGGTGCCCTGGCAACCCCCAGGACCCTTTGGGGTGTTACCAGGACAACCAGAGATGAAAGGCCGGGATGAAAGACTGGGAGGGATGAGGGGGCGTCGCACATCTGGGATGAGAGTGAGGACAGGGCTGTTCCTGGGGGGATGGAACACCTGGGATAAGAACAGGGACAGGGTCCTGGGAGGAGCTGGGGGCTCACAGGGGACAGGGTGACACACCTGGGATAAGCACAGGGAGAGGGTCCCGGGGGGGTCGAGGGGGTCACACACCTGGGACAAGAGTGGGGACAGGGTCCCTGGTGGGGCAACGGGAGGAGTGACACACGTGGATCGAGATGGGGACAGGGCTGTCCTTGGCAGGGGGACCTGGATGGTCACACACCTGGGACAGGAATGGGGACAGGGCTGTCCGTGCTGTGTCGGGTCCTAGAGGGGACAGCGGTGGAGGGTGTCTCACACATGTGACAAGAGTGGGGACAGGGTCCTTGAGAGGGTCACACGCCCGGGACCAGCT